CACTGCAGATTCTGGGTTTATTATTCTCTCTGCAGATTCAGAGATTTACACTATCACCTGTTTCTTTATTAAACCAAATGCCAGGTGATTTTAGCTATCATTTTGCAATAATCTGGATGCATTTATATGAATGTAAAGCATCTGATCATCTATTTGATTAGCTTTAGGTGAGATCATTTCGGTTCCAGAAACTGATAAAGGAAAGAGTAAGGACATTGAGAATTCAGAGGATGAAAAGATTCCAAGAACTCGTTCTAGATCCTTGAAGACGAAAGCTATCAAAGCTTCGACGAGATTGACACATAGTCTAAGGAAACGAGGGAAGCGTGTAGGGGATCAATATGCAGCAATTGTGATTGAGGATGTGAGAGATGCAGAAGAGGAAAAGGCAGTGAATGTATTTAGAAAAGCTTTGGTTTCTCTAGATTTGCTTCCGCCTCGGCACGATGATTATCATACCATGTTGAGGTAATAGGATACTTGCTGGATCCTTGTCAGATATCTCAGGTGAAGTAAGTTTCTAGATTTGTCGTTGATCAGTTCAGTTTTGTTGTTTCAGATTCTTAAAGGCGAGGAAATTTGATCTTGACAAAACGGTTCAGATGTGGGAAGAAATGCTAAAGTGGAGGAAAGAAAACGGAGTTGATACCGTAATGCAGGTGAAGGATACGAACCTTCCTTAGAGTTGGTAAAGATATTTGTTGTTTATGAGTGCTACAATACCCTTGAAGCTTAGATTTTTTAAAAGATTCTTTCCACTTGGGGTTTTGCTGTTTCTTACGGGCATTGACTTGATCGTTCAGGATTTTGTTTATGATGAATACGAACAAGTACAACAATACTATCCACATGGTTACCATGGTGTAGACAGAGAGGGCCGGCCTGTCTACATTGAACGGCTTGGTAAAATTGACCCCTCCAAGCTAATGAAGGTTACCACATTGGAGCGTTTCTTGAGATATCATGTACAGGGTTTTGAAAAGACGTTTTCTGAGAAGTTTCCAGCCTGCTCGATCGCAGCAAAGAGGCACATAAATTCTTCAACAACAATAATAGATGTGCTAGGAGTGGTTGGTACCTTTATATATATTTTTTTCTCAACCTTCCGTTTCAGTGATACCAGAATTTCTGTTGCTCAATGTTTCTTTTGATGCAGAATTGGATGAGCTTCAGAAAATTAGCTCAGGACCTTGTAATGCGCATGCAGAAAATTGATGGTGACAACTATCCTGAGGTGGGTGTATAAAAGTTATTTGAATGTCAACCATTGGAGAACACTAACATTGGTCTTGGTTCATTGAAGACAGACATTGAATCAAATGTACATCATTAATGCTGGAACCGGATTCAAGCTTGTTTGGAACACAGTGAAAGGCTTTCTCGACCCTAAAACTACTTCTAAGATACATGTATTGCATCTTCCGCATATATAAGCCTTATACAACAGGAGTTTATGAGGTGTTCCAACTTGACCAACAATTTACATTGGCTATTGCACAGGTTTTAGGAATCAACAAATTTCGCGGTCACCTTCTTGAGATTATAGATCCAAGGTCAGAATTTCTTATGTATAATCCAGTTTTGCTTAGTTGTTTGGAGGCTGATACAGATAGCGTCTATTATTTTCTCTGCACAGTGAGCTTCCCGATTTTCTGGGAGGAAGTTGTAATTGTGCAAATGAGGGTGGATGCATGCGATTTAACAAGGGGCCTTGGAATGACCCGGAGATAATGAAAGTATGATGACTGTTCAGCTCAACTCTTTGTGTAGACATTGCTATCTCTTGAAAAGCATTATATGATAAAATCTATGTTTCACATCATACGTGTAGCTAGTGCGCTCGAGAGATGCAACATACAAAACAAAAGAAATAGGGCTCCTGGAGAATGGGGAATTAGCTAAATTATTTGCCTTACGGGTAAGTACTAGTTCTAGTCAACTTCTAAAAGCGATTGGCTTTTCTTACTATCTGTGTTAATATTACCACCTTCTTATTTCTTACAGCAGCATGTGAACACAGATATTTCCTCGTCTGATAGAGGACAAGTTAGGGAGAGGGAATTGCATCCTGAACATGTTAGTTTACATATATACATAGTCTGGCGTTCTTCTGTCTGTTCATTGTCTAATACTGTTGATGAATGATTACGACATGTATCTTATGATTCCAGGACAAACGTGCTCAGTTGAACAATCAAGCGGAAGTAGTTGGTACTAGGAGAATTGTACAGTCTGATTCAACAAGTAGGTGGAAGCCACTTTGTGTTCTAATGTCGTGATCTATTTTAGATAAGATCCTAATAATATCTGGAACGTTTTTCTGCAGTTCAATTACCCAGTAATCTGGCAGTAGAAAGGAGTGTGAAAAACTCTCTTCAAAAAGTTGCAAGTTTGTTGGCTCGTTTTATCTTCCAACTTCTTGCGTGTCTATGCCTCATGTTCCGGATCTTGCGAGGACTTGTAAATAAGCAACGAGGGAACCAACTGAGACCGGAGTTAACGGTTTCGGCCTCCCAGCAACAGGTTCCTCCTCCTCCTCAGGTGCATGGAGGACAGTCTCTCCACCCATGTTGGCTGAGGTTGCAAAATCTGGAGACCATGGTCACAGTGTTGTGTGATAAACCCACAAACATTCCTCAGGAGAAAGAAGATATTCTTCGTGATTCTTTAGACCGTATCAAATCCATTGAGCAAGATTTGCAGAAGACAAAGAAGGTAACAAAATATAGATCCCTTTTCTCACCCCCCAAAAGAAAACCACTTGTTTCATTAGATTTTAATTAGGATTTAATGTTGTGGCAGGCACTCCTTTTGACCGCTTCAAAACAAATCGAGCTTGCCGAGTGTTTGGAGAGCTTGAAGGAGAGCAGCTCAATGGTAAGAGGGCTTAGTCTTCTCCGATGTGAAACACTTGGGATATCTTTGTGCATCAATGTGAAACATTTCTTGTTTGCTAAACGTAGGGAATGCGTTCGTGCTGGCCGAGACAGTGCAGAAATTTCCCAGTTGAATAAATATATCTTTGAATCTCAAATCAGAAGTCTTCCTAGCTACAACTTCACCCTCCAACCATATTACAGGTGAGAGACATCAGAACCATCTCTTTGCCCTGTTCCAACCAAACATTCATATATGTTTTGTTCGCTTGCTCACTTAGAACTACTTTTCCTTCTAATGGTTTTTCAGATGATTATACGAAAGGCAAAACGGTAATACAAAGTGAAATTGAAAAGGGAGAGCTTACAATTGTACCAGTTTCTTTAGGGTAGAAAAGAGTGGAATTAGTGAACTATTTGGGATTTACTTTCTCCATAACGAGGAGTCTAATGCACATCATTGTTATATTGTATAGTGGTGGAGGAATATATCGGCACAACACAAATGTATAACTCTACTTACAGTAACTATTTACAAATACTATTACATTTGATGGCAGAAAGGTGTATTTTCTCAACTTATCTTGTTCAACTAGTAAACCGGACAACAATGAATTTGTAATAAGATAGGAGGTCGGAGAAGTTCGTATTAAAAGATGAGTTCGGAAAATAGTGTGTTTACATAGAGGTCGCGTAACGAGATCATAGTAGACCGGACAAGCTCCGAACTACTAGTTCGCTGGCGAGTAAAAAGAAAGAATGAATATCTAGATTATCACTTTTTCGGGCGGCGGTAGCCTGTCGAAAAATTCCCCGAAGTAGAGGTAGAGACTCAACGGAAAGTTCTGTCCCTTGTACTCTCTAGGAAGAATATTGATGTTTTGTCACATCACTTTGTATTCCTATTTATAGTAAAAAAAGTTGAGGGTACATCCTAGGTCTAGTTTACTGCAGTTGCCAAATCTGACCATGGTTGACTTGACCGCAATTGACTTCTGAGTTGGGCTTCAGAAAGCTTATTAGGCTGCTAGACCGAGTGGGCCGCAGGTTCAGGCCCAACAGTAGCCCCGCTTAGCCAGCAAATTGAGGTGGGCCGAGTTCGCTGTTTAGCTACTTCGTAGCCCAAGCCCAGAATAGATCGAGCCCAACTTCTGTTGTCCTCTTATTGGTGCGATGCGCGACGCTAAGATTTTTTCGAGGTGCGACTTCTCGTCTTCCGTCCTGGGTGTATATAATCGTGGCCTTCTCATCCTTTCTCATTATGCTCCTCCGGCTTCTCTCTCTAAGGTATTTTCTCTTCTCTCTAGACTTCGTTCGATCTCCTGTCCCATCGCTTTATTTTAGATTTTTCTGACCAGTCCTCTCTGTTATCTGTTTGTACGATGTCTTCCCTAATCCTAATTGACTCTCGCACCGGAGACTCTCCTGCCTAACACCCGGTCAGCTCATCCTCTGCTTCTACTTCTGAGGATTTGGCTCTTTTGGAAGCTAAGATTCCCGTCCGCGTGCTACAGGGGGATGAGGCAGAATCTAGCTCTACTCGGAGGCCCCGGGTTGGTCCTAATCTCGACGAGGCTGAGACTTCCAATCCTGGTGCCTCCAGCCCGCCTGGAGTTCTACGATCCCGCCGTGGTCAAGTGAGAGTTGCTCGGGTTGAAAACAATGACGACTCCTTTGGTCTGTTGATCTTTATCCCGGAGAAGCGTGATTCTCCGGGGCCGGGATTAGGTCGTCATATCGTGCTAGTACGTTCTAATGATCAAAAAACACGATCTACTCGTAAGAAGTTGGAGGCCTTGCGGTCTGCTCGACGTCTTCGTGAAAGCGTCGAATTTTTAGACCTTTGGGACAATGACCATCCTTGGTCTCTCCGGAAGGGTACTTATGTTTGTATGAGGCTTTCTTCCTAGACTGCGAGCTATGGTTCCCGCTTCCTCGACTGTTGATCGAATATTGTGCCCGGCGCGGCTTTGCTATCTCTCAGCTCACTCATGCATCGATTCGAAATTTTGCGGTGTGGCTAACACTGGCCGCCGAGCATGAGATGCGGTGTGACTGTGATAATTTTGAGGCGATGACCCAGTTGAAGTGGCGGAGGTCCTCATCTCGCTTTTATATATCACCGCATCCCGGATATACGTGGGTGAACCGGGACTCGATAAGGGATAAATGCGAGAACTAGGAGCAATTTTATTTCTTTGTAAAAATAGACCGTGCCTCCGTTGAGAATATGAACTGGCTCATTCATGTTGGCTGGAATATTATAATCAGTAGGTGTAACATCTCGATGTGCTTTTGCTTTTCTTGTCTACGGTAACTCCTAATCTTCTTCCTTGTATGCAGATTATCTGATCAGATCCCCACGATTTTGACTGTTGCTAAGCCTGAAACTGAGTCTTTAATTGATTGTCTGAAGAAGTTGAGACCGCAGCTTTGGTCAGAATTTCTCGAGTAGCGGATGCAGAGGTGTTTGGGACGATACTACATGTTGGTGTCCGATCTCTTTTTTTTTGTTGGTCCTGGTCGGATTTTTCTCTAATGCAATTATCTTGAAGGTTGTTTGAATTTCAAGCTCTTGCCATTAAGACCGTATACTTTTTTGCCGATCAAGCTAAGGAAGCCTCGTCAAAAGAAAGGTGGAAGGATGGTCAAGACGCAAAGCAAAGGGACCGGGGCCAAGGATTATGTCTCTAGAAAAGAAGTCGTTGCTAAAGACGCTGGTGGAGCTAAAAAGGGCAGCTCGGGCGCTGGGAAGAAGACTGATGCACGCAATCGTTCTCAGGAAGCAAAGGCGATCACAGCCTCTCGGGCTGAGAAGTAAGCCGAGAAGCGTCCCGCGACCCCTGCTGCTACGGTCTAGAAGACCGCTGCTAAGACCTCTAGACAGGAGGAACGCGAGCAGGAGGTCGCTGATGAGACTACTGTTGCTTCAGAGGCAAATCGGGCGCCTTACAACCTTACTTTTCCTTTCGAGGCGGACTCATATATCAGAATGTTCCCCGAGCTTGTGCTGACCTGTTCTCCAGAAATCATAATGATTTCTCGGAGCCGAATGACCTGGTGGAAGATAAGGCGTACCGTCTGTGGGCAGGGAGCGCGATGGAGGTGAGTTTTTGCTTTACGCAGGCTGCTTTTCCTGTTTTATTTATTTTGGGTTTTCTGAATTCTGGTCTTTGTTTGTAGCTGATTACTCATTCGAACCTACTTGCCTTGTCATACGAACGGCGGGTGAGGAGGTTCGTTGCGAAGCTCGAAGGTTATTCGGCAATGAGGGCGAGAGCGGAGCAGGTCCTTATTCTTAGGAAGAGGCTCGCCGATCATGTTCCCACAAGAAGGACCTTTCCGAGAAGGCCACGGATGCGAGGAAGAGAATGAGGTTTGCTGAGGAGGAGCTCGATAGAGATAAGACAGAGAAAGAGTCCTTGCTGGTCTTTTATGAGAAGGAGATGGCTCGTCTGCGTGCTTTCCGCGAGCATGAGGTAAACCAAGACATCGCACGGTGTGATGACAAGCTGCAGAGGATAAAGAAATCCATCTGTGATTCAGAGGAAGTGCATAGGCTTTCTTCCTTGATGGGTGAAGCGGTGGCCATCAAGGATTATCTTACTGCCTTTATAGGAGAGGGGGTTGCTGTCCCGGAAGACAAGTTCAAGGATTTCGAGGAGAATTTTAAGAAATTCGAGGCAGAGTTCGAGGCCTTGGATGTGGAAGAGGTTACCGAGGCAGACTTCAGGATGATTCCTCTTTGCCCGCAGCCTACTAATCCTCCTTTTGCTAAAGTCGAGACCGAATTCTACTAGTACGGTATGCACAAAAGTTCGGAAGACAGGGCGAATGATCTCATGTCTGCTGAAGACGATTTTGATCCCGCCGATCGTTTCCTTGCTCGCGAGAGACGGTTGCGGCGAAAGATCCTCCTACTGGCATAGATCTTTTTCCTCTTGATAGGATCCCGGTCGTCCCTGTTGCTCAGCCCTATGTTGATCGCATTTTGTTTGCATGACGTTATATTTGCTTTGTGTTGGTAGACCGTTGGTTGGTGCTGGGTTTAGATGCATATGCAAGCTTTAAATTTATAACCCTAGGAAACTGCAAGTGCACAACATTGACAATTGTAGTACTTAGGGGTCGTTCCACTGAGGACTAAGTGATGATGCGCTACAAATATATATGATGCGAATTAAGCTAGATGAATATATTATTTGGTTTTTTAGGGTTTGTGGAAGCAAATAACAAAGCAATAAAGTAAAGATAGATAGTTCAATCAAGATAAAAGATCAAACAATTCTCCAGACATATGCAAGACACAAGTAAACGATTTAGGGTTTTGAATACTAGTTGTTCTAGAGCTCAAATCACTAAGATAAAATCATACCACTATCGTGGATCAAACTTCTATGTCTTCTTCCCTAATAGACTCAACTATTGTATGGTTATTACAAGGTGAAGATACGCGTAAAGTGTAAGATTCGATTGTTCACTAAACTCTTTAACTAACATATCAAATTGTTAAGAAGCCTAGCTCATCAAATACTAGGTCCGGAGATATCAAGCTTTTGGAGAGTATATCAACCTAATATCAGTCACTGGGTAGCTAAGCCANNTCATGCCNTGAGNGTAAATAAAGANGAAGAATCAATTCTAGAATAAAACCTTAAACGATCAATTGTGTGATAACATAGAAATAAGAAAGTGCATAGAAATCAAATCAAGGCTAATACTCTACAT